ATCGACCACAACATTATTTTGAGTAGACTAAAAAATTGTGTTGGCATTAGTGGTGTTGCATTGGCATGGTTCAGATCATACTTACTGACCGTCATCAGTTCGTAGTAGTGAATGACGAGATATCATATCGATCACAAGTACAGTATGGAGTGCCACAAGGGTCAGTACTAGGACCGTTGCTTTTCACATTACCCTTGGGAGCTATCATCAAGAAAGATGGTGTTAGCTTTCACTGTTATGCTGATGATACTCAGCTCTATATTTCTTCGTGGTCCGATTAAACCTACAAATTTACCTGAAACGCACCTGTGCTGCAGCCTGGAATTAAACCACACCATGCTGGTTTGGTCTGGCCAGAGGAGAACTGGCCCCCGACTGAGCCTGGTTTCCCCCAAGGTTTTTTCTCCATTCTGTCACCGATGGAGTTTTGGTTCCTTGCCGCTGTCGCCTCTGGCTGGCTTAGTTGGGGACACTTCATTCCCAGCGATATCGTTGTCTTGATTGCAAATGATTGCAAAGATACTATTTAAACTGAACTGAGCTGGATGATGACATCACTGAATTCATTAGTTGGGGACGCTTGACTGATTGCACAGACACTTTTAGAAGAGAGCTGAACTGGATTATGACATCACTGAATCATTAATGAACTGACTTTAACTGGAAAAATGAATGTTATTGTCTTCTTGCATTATTGACAAACTATTTTCCTGTTAAACACTATAAAGCTGCTTTGACACAAACAGTGTTATATAAACGGAGGTGACTTTTGACAACAATTTTGATGCCAATTTGATGTTTTTTCAACATCAATTGCCCACTGGGTAAGAGTAAAATGTGTATGGTTGTCTGAACTGCACATTGGTGTAGATGGTGGATTACATTGAATAATTGTCATAAATTGAGGTTGATATTTATAATAACGTGCCATATTTCCACTGTGAAGTTGGGAATTAAGTTCATGTTCCCATTGTTGCTTCAGTTTTATTAAAAATGACATATTCTGTGAACAAATTAAAGTGTATCATGCCAGTGTTAATTTCAGAAAGTGTATTGATTTTCAAAATGACTATATGAACATCTGATTTCTCATGCAATTAAACCCTAACACTAAGCAGAAGGCTGATGTCATAATCACATATTTGAAATAAAATATACAATATAACAATTTAAATAGTTTTGAATGAATTGCATATGTTAGTGTGCATTTCCATAATCGTGTTGAGTTTAGCACAGTTTGAGAATCACTGGTCCAGACTTTGATACTATCAAGATTTCCAAGAAAAGAAAAGCATTCTGGGTAAGTCACAGACTTTCCCTCAAACACAGACAGATGCTCCAATCCTGATCAGGCACTTTAATGAAAGCGTTCACAGATCAAATCAGAGAGACAGATGTTATTCACACATTTCTAGTATTCAGTGCCATTGGCTGTATATTCATGGAAAATTAAGTATATAGTCCTACGACCAGATATTTCAGTGCAAAAACCCAAAGTTTGGCAAAGGAAGTTAGCCATGACAATCATTAATGGCGGCTGAAACAGCGTTGGGTTCACAGCCATCAGTCCAGTCCAGCAGCAGCAGCAGCAGCAGCAGCATTTGTGAATCACAGATGGTCGCGTCTAACTCTCCCAGTCTCCAGATGGCTCTTCATCATCAGAGTCATTAGACACCTTCTTCATCCTCATCATGGCGGCTTGGATGCTTCGCTCGAGCTCTGAGTCGGAGCTGTGCGTGGGGCTGCTGGAGGGCGGGACGTTCTTCAGGGTGACTCCCTGACGGATGGCTGACAGCAGGCTGTTCCTGACGTCGCCGCTCTCTGTGCTGACCGTGACCTTCCGCAGCTGCGTCTGTCCACGCTGCAGCGACGCTAACAGCTCGTCCATCGATCCTGCATCACAAACATAACATTCACTCAAACGGGTGAAACGTCCAGCTCAGATTTCAACTCGAAATCACACAGAAACCATCATTGAAATGACAAGCTCGAATGTCATCTGACTCTCAGCCAAACAGAACTTTACACTGCTCTTAATATTTGTCCCGCTATGAACCCTCTGTAAGCGCCTTGAGCTGCTCCTGAATGTGACGCACGAGACATCTTCGTTTAATGACTGGCTCGGCTTTCAGGATTTAAGACAAGTCTGAGGTTCTTTTAACTTTATGAAGATTTTACAATAACTTGAATTCTTAAGAAACTAGACAGGAATAAGAATTTTTAAGAATACATAATTATTCATAACTCTTTCCTTAAGATGAAACGTAAGAAGAAAACAGCAGTTAAAGGTACAATATGTAATTTTTCGCCGCTGGAGGGCGCGTATTCAAAACAAACAGAATCAAAGGCGTAGGCGTGACTGAGTGTGGAATCATGGGAGTTGTGGTCTTCATCTCCACAGCCGACGCAATCCGACGGGACTCGGGCAGAAATCATGTTCATGGATGAGCTAATGATTTTTATTTTTGTATTTATTTTTTTATTTATTTTTAACTGTGTGTTTATTGAACCTTTTTTTTTTAACAAAATACTGTTACATAACTTTTACTTACAATATTGAGACATGAAAAGTAAATGAATAAATAAATAAACACTAAGAAACAAAAAAACAAAAGAAAAAAAACACTAATTTAAAAATAAATACAGAAGTCCCTGACAGCACTTCAATAAATGCACCACATACTGGCAAATTATCTGCATGGTTCAAACATTAATATATATTAGAGCTATTTCCTTCAAGCAAATATGTTTCAATAAGTGCCCACTTCTGTCGAAAAAAGTCAGATTTTAACTGCAAGTCCGCGGTCATTTTCTCAAATATATATATCTGTTTCAGTCTTTGTGTCCATTCTGTCACAGTAGGTTCGTGCACATTCATCCAGTTCACAGTGATTATCTTCCTGGCTGCCATTAGTAATATATGTAATACAAATATTTTGTTCTAGAGTGTTCTGGACGGGCAGTTTCACACTGATGAGTGGGGCAGGAGCAGGAGGAGGAGGAGGAGGAAGAAGAGGAGGAGGATTAGAAGGAGGAAGAAGAAGAGGAGGAGGATTAGAAGGTGGAGGAGGAGCAGGAGGCGTCTGGTCTGGCTGTGCTGATGCCGATCCAGGCGGCAGTAGAATCTGCACTGGTATGTCAGGCTGCTTCTGACTCCGCCTCTTCCTGTGGGGGGTGGAGCTTTGTGGCCCCAGGCTGATGATTGACAGGGGCTGGGAGGAGTCATCTCTGCTGGAGTCATGTGACACTGGCTTCACATGAGCCGTCTGTAAATGCCTGATGCCTCTAAATGCAGAGAAACTGGCCCTGCACACGCACACACTCATGTGCACGCGCACACACACACTCATGTGCACGCGCACACACACACTCATGTGCACACACACGCACACGCACACACACACTCATGTGCACACACACGCGCGCGCGCGCACACACACACACACACACGCTCATGTGCACACACACACACACTCATGTGCACACACACACGCACACACTCATGTGCACGCGCACACACACACACACACACACTCATGTGCGCACACACGCACACACTTATGTGCACACACACGCACACTTATGTGCACACGCACACACACACATACACACACACACAGCGCCTCACCTCTCTGAAGCAGCGCACTCTGTTGAGCATCTTTGCTCTCGTTCTCCACCCATTGCTTCATCTGCTCTTCCTCAGCTCTCCTCCTCTCTCGCTTCTGATCAAACACACACACACACACACATATTTAGAGAGGAAACTGATTGAATCGGATGTGGAAATGGAATGACATGAACAGGAATTCAATGAAATACAATTCAACACGAAGAAAGAAATACAACATAGAAACTTCATCAGTCCAACAGAACGGAGCATCATCCGGCAGACTGCTGCATTCTGGGAAATGAAGAGCTCATCCACTGTTGTCCATAAAATGCAAGTTCATTTAGTAGATATAATGAAATAAATTCAATGCGAATTTCCATAAGAGGCTCATTGCGTGTTTGATTATGTTTATGGCTGATTCACACTGAATATTGATATATGATATACGAATTTCATTTCAAACCCTCCAATATCTCGTCCGTTTGGGACTCGTGTGACTCTGCTCAGAATTTGCTGAGAATGTGCTCACATGACTGTGCCTGTGTGTGCATGGATCACCAGAGCCACTAACAGCACACGTGTGCCACATTCACTGCAGGGGAAATGAGCGTGAACCAACAGAAACACATTCAGTGGCCTCAGCTTCCACAGTCACACCAGCGCAGGGAATTCTGGGAATGTGTGCGTGACCCCTGCTGGACTGACAGAAGGCTTAGTTGCCATGGTAACTCGGTCGGCCCACAGACAGCCCACGGATCCTACGGCACTGTGACTCATTATGGGATGCTTTGTGGGGTGATGCAGTGGGTTGTGGTTACCATGGTTACAGCACATTACTCACCAGCTGTGCGGAGTGGTGTTGGCGGTGCTGCTTAGATCTCTGCACGACTGAACGCTGCTGCTGCTCGTGAGCCTGAACACACAACTCCTGCGGGTACACACACACACACACACACACACACACATGCACGCACAATCGCTCCTCTTTTGCTCTCCAGTTGTTTCAGGCAGGTGTGAGTGGGCGGGACTTACATCCACCTGAACATCCTGCAGCTCAGGAGACAGCCCACGGAACAGCTTTTTCTCCGCGCTGAATCCAGTCATTCATCTCTGCCTACAGTTCACTCACACGCTTCGGCCTCAGCTCCTCATACTGCAGACATTTCTGAACAAACACAAACATCCATCAACTTCTGCTGCTTCTTAACATCATGTTTTTCAGCTGAACCTAAATCATCTTTCATCATCACATCAGTGAGCTTTTCTTGCTGCTTAAATGACTGAGAGGTTTGGCCTGTAGCTGATGAGTCCTGATGTACATGAATGTAAATAGGAAAGTGTATTTTTGTATGGCTCTGGCATGTGAGATGTGTGCAGGTACCAGCATCTCCGTCTTGTAGAGCGTGCGTTCTCTCGCATGTCTCTGAAAGGCTGCAGAAGGTTCTGGTAGAACTGCGTTGCCACACTCACTAATGCCCTGTAAGCCTCATCTTCCTCCTCATAGATCTTCATCAGCCGCTGGAGCCCGTCAGCGCTGGGATGAGTCTGCAGCTGCTGAAGAACAAAAACACGACAACACCATCATCATCCTCACTCAACCTCAACCACCGGCAGAATGAAACCAGAAACTGAATAGAACAGAATAGAAATGGATGGAATTGAACAAAAAATACAACAGAATTCAACAAAATACAACACAAAAGAATAAAATATAACACAACAGAATAGAACAGAACAAAAAATAGAATAAAACAACAGAATAGAATAAAAGAGTAAATAATAGAATAGATCACAACTGAATAGAATGGAAAAAATAAAATAGAACATAAGAGAATACAGCACAATAGAATAGAATAGAATAGAATAGAATAGAATAGAATAGAACAGAAGAAACAGGAACCAAATGAAAGACAGTAGAATAGAAGACAATAAAACAAAACTAGGGATATGCCGGTATCAAATTTTCATGTTGCGATTAATTGCTAATGCGTTTATTACGGTATACGGTATTATCATGATATTGAAATTTTGTTAAAAAAAAGTGCTGTCATAATACAGTATAACGTTTAATAACTTTTTTCTTATAACAAAAATAACTGAACATTTAAATGCAATAAAGCAATACAGAAAAATGTATAAAGTCAAAAGTTTTACACAGATTAAAGTGCAAAAGAACCCTTTACAATAAGACCTCATTAGTTAACCTTAGTTAATGCATTAACATTCACAATGAGCAATAGCTACATTTGCTACAGAAGTTATTCATCTTAGTTAAAAAATACAAGTCTTAGTTCATGTTAGCTCATTAAATAACCGTGATATATCGCATTACCGAATACCGGCACAAGTCTAAACACAACATAATAGAATAGACACAGAAACTGAATAGAACTGGATGGAATTGAACAGAAAATAAAACAGAATTCAACAAAATACAACACAAAAGAATAAAATATAACAACAGAACAGAACGAAAAAATTTATAGAATAGAACACAACAGAATAGAATAAAAGAGTAAATAGTAGAATAGATCAGAACTTAATAGAACAGGAAAGAAATTAAATAGAACACAATAAAATAGAACAGAACAGAAAGCAACACAATACAATAGAACAGAATAGAAGAAAATAGAACCGAATAGAAGACAACAGAATACAACAAAACAGAATAGAATAGGATAGAACAGAATAGAATACAACAGAACTGAATAGAATAGAACAGAATAGAAGACAAAAGAAGAGAAGACAACACCACAGACTAGTATAGAACACAACAGAATAGATGACAAAAACCCACAACACAACATAATAGAATAGAAACAAAAACTGAATAGAACACAATAGAACTGGATGGAATTAAACAGAAAATAAAACAAAATACAACACAAAATAATAAAATATAACAGAACAGAACAGAATAAAAGAGTAAATAATAAAATAGATCACAACTGAGTACAAGACCATAGGGCTTGACATTACAGTTTTTCTTGATTGCTAACACAATTCATGAAACAATTCGCCATTTTATAAACACAATCTCAAAACTATACACCAACTTGTGCAAACTTCAAACTTCCAGCTCAAAATCAAATAGTTTAGTCAAAAACATGTTCTCTTCATGTTCTCAGACTCAAAACCCTAACCCTAACCCTCAGATGACACACAAACCTGCCAAATACACACTACTTCACTGCCGAGAGAACACTAGTGAGATCAACTCAAAACTCTGTTACTAAAACCTGCTTTTGGGAAACGAATCATTTTGCTAGTCAATGACTGTTACAGTATACGACACAAATAGAGGGATGCAGATACAGTACAATTCAGCATTAAACTGTAAGAAAGGTTTACTTTCATTGCACTACTGTGAAGAGATCTTACAGTAGATGAAAAGCACTAGAAGAGAAAAGTTCAAAAACCAAACAACAGAATATACAGTAAACACACATTGGAATATACGGTCAGTTACTGTAAATAAATTAATTCCATTCATTCAGCATCCTCTGCCAAACTGCATCACAGTATTGGTAGTATCCTTATTTGTTACAGCAGTTTCTTAGTCTTCTGACAAAAGACCTCTCTGCCTCCCCTAGACAGCCGTCTCTCAGTTCTGTACAAATACAGTACATGCTTGGCTACAAATCAATCCAAGAGTATTGAGTTTGAGGGTGTACAACATGTACTACAGTATTTACTGTACATAGAATAATGAAAGGTCTCTCATCTGCAGTACTGCTGCTATGTACTGTAATTATATTGTATATGTATTGTGTAAGTACTGTAAAACCCTGTAGATGAGCTGCAGGCTAACTTCCCTCATGATCAGTCCATGCAGAAGAACATGCTCAACTATAGTGCTGTGTATTTCATCAGGAACTAATGACCTTTGACCTCATGCTTAATGTTCACACATGAATAAATGTGTGCTGTTTGTGTTAATTTTTTGATGCTTGAGTTAATTATATTGTGTGTTTGTGTTTTCTGAATGAGAACATGGTTAGACCTGTGCAAAATTATGGCGTTTTGTGCAGCATTTCGCAGAAAACACTGAGCAATTTGGAGCGTGTGTGCAAACAGGTGAAATGTGTTAAAGGTTTTGAAACGTGTCTTTGTGTCTTTCGACATTTCAAGCGTTAATGTCGAGCCCTGGAATACAACAGAACCGAACAGAATAGAAGACAACACCACAGAATAGAATAGAACAGAATAGAATAGAATATGTCGCGTCTCACCGCGCGCAGCGTGTCTTTGGCGCGCGTCATCTCATCGCGCATCGCTTTGCATTTAAACTCCTGCAGGTTTTCGAAGTACTCGCGTTCGTCCGCCGCAGTGACGCTGAAGAGCGCGTCCAGCACGATCTTGCGGCCGCACGCGTCCACCGCGGCGCCGAAGTAGCGCTCCAGCTGCCTGCAGGCCGCGTCAGCATCGCTCAGCTGCGCGCCGGAGAACAGACCCGCGCAGCTGCCGCTCGCGTCGCCACGTCGCTGCAGCGTCCGGTTATGACACGTCACCGCGAACTTCGTCTGGGTCTCGTTCCACTCCACGATGAATCTGAGTTTGTGGCTCTCGCTGTCGTCGAAGGCGTCGCGTTTACCGGCGACCCATCCGTCCAGACTGTCCATGCGCTCGCTGTCCGCGTCGCTCATCGCGTTAACGCGTTTGTGTTCGAGCTGCACTTCTATAGGGTTAGATCTCTGCCACAATTCTGCGCGGGAAATATCATATTTTGAGCACAAAAGTGCATTTTGCACACGCGCAATCTGAGTTTTGTGGAGAAAATGTTTGTTTAGCAAAGAAAAAAAGTATTTTGAGCGCACTAAAATCAATTTTGCATTTAAAATAAGTTTTTGGATGTGTGCAGACCTTCTCTTTTGCGCATGCAAGGTGGCTGGTCTCTGATTGGCTGGAATTATGTCATATTGTTGGCATTTAGAGAGCACTGAGGGCAGCGGGCATCAAGGGAACAAGCTAGTGAAATGTTGCATGTGCAAAAGAGTCTGTACAAATTCAAAATATTATTTTAAATGCAAAATTGATTTTCGTGCGCACGAAATACTTTCTTTGCGAGACAAAAATTTTCTCCACAAAACTCAGTTCACGCGTGTGCAAAACGCACTTTTGCGCGCTCAAAATATGATCTTACGCATGCAGAATTGTGGCAGAGATGTAATCCCATACACTTCCGCCCTCATCAGCTGTCCTCATGTGACGGAATTCCAGCCTCCTAGTGAAGCACAGATTCAATATTCTTCATGAAATGCCTGACTTTTAACAAACTGCATCTGTACAAAGAGAGCTGCTGTTATAAACAGAAATCATTCACAAAAGATTTCATCTTGAACATTATAACGATAAACACCCAGCAAATGTGAATTAAAAAAAAATGTCATTAATAAAATTAAAAACATCAGTGCACAATTTTCCACACCACAATCTGTCAAGCACATCTGACCAGCAAACATACACTCGTTCACATCCTTCTCTCCACTCTCTGAGGAAGAAGTCACCAAACTCATCCTTTCTAATCATCCTACTACTTGTCTGCTTGATCCTATTCCATCTCATCTCCTTCAAGCCATTTCTCCTGCAGTTGTACCTGCACTCACTCACATCATTAACAAAAGGCTGATTTATACTTCTACGTCGAACCTACGCCGTAGCTTACGCACAGACGCACACCCATACGCCGTAGCCTGACGTGCACCTCTCCAACAATCTAACAGCGCGTCAATTCTACGCAGACCGCAAGCGCTGATTGGTCTGCAAGAACCCCTCCCTCCATATGTACTTGAGTTTTGTGTGTGTTTATGTGCACTTTAATATA